GAGAAAGCAGTTGTCCAGATCAAGGCTGCCCCAGCCCCTGGAGACCAAGTATAGCTGGAAGAAGTGGGAGCAGGGAGAGTAGGGAGTGCAGGGCGGGGCATGGGGCTGTTAGCACTCTTCCATCCACCCAGTCAGCAGAGCAGACCCCAGGGCTGCCTCCCTCTGCCCTGGCATTCACCCCTGCCAGCTCCACCATTCCGCCTCCCCAATGGCCACACGCAGGCTCAGCCTCCAGTCTTGCCACCCTGCCCACAGCCCGAGCAGCCACCAGAGCTGGCTTCCCTCAAGGCCAACTTGCCTGGGTCCCTCAAATGCTCAAAAACTTTCCAGAACTCCCCATTCTGCGCAAAGATAAAGTCTGAGCTCCTCTGCTCGGCCCTTGGCACCCTTGGCTCTCCCTGCCCCTCTCCCTGGCTACACCCTCCCTCCATCCTCTGCCCTCGATGACTCCACCCAGCCAGCCCCAGTTGCCCTCCCTCCTTCCCTGCTCTTTGGTGACTGTGTGTGACATTTAGTATCTGGGGTACCCTAAACCAGTGTACCCCTAGATCAGGTGACATCTATCAGGAAAGTCACAGCTCAGGTGGATTGGGGCAGCTGGCAGAGGTCACCGTGGCCAGGGAGGTGGGAGCAGGGCCAGACCATGGCTGGTAACAATGCCCTAGGGAGAGCCGCCCCTCCCTCCCAGCATGGACAAGGCTAGAGGCCTGGCACAGAAGAGGTCTGGGGCCTGGCCGAGGGGGCACCCCACCCAGGAAGTTGAGGCATCTGAGGAGTCTCCCCTTCTTCATCCCCCAGTGTGAAGTTTCTCCTGATGGACGCCGAGGGCTCCCCCAGGGCTGAGACCAGGTGGTCAGATCCCATCACTCTCCACCAAGGTAGCCTGGGGGAGCCTGTCTGCCCCAGAGGACTCACTGGCCTCTCTGGGCCACCTTGACACCTGCAAAACGGCTGAGCTCTGTTGACCCTTGCCCTGCGCCCATGGGGCTGGGGCCTGGAGGCACTGCCCAAGTCCGGCCCACCCAACAGCACCTTGGAGTGGTGGGTGGAGCCATGGGTCAGTCCCATCCCTAAGGGTTGCCAACTCTTGGGTCTAGGCCCCAGCCCAGTGTGGCCAGAAACAGACTCCTCTCCTACAGAGAGTCAGCCCCATGCCAAGTCACACCCTGGTGGGAGAAGGGAAGCCCACGAAGGAGGCAGAGTCAGAGGGGAGACTTCCTTGAGCAGGGCCCCACGGGGGCCAGAGGTGGGGATGGGGAGGGCTGCAGAAGTAGGGGTAAGGGAACTGCAGAGGTGGGGGTGGTGGGAGGGAGAGGCCTGCAATGGTGGGGGAAGGTGAGGTTGTCATCTGAAGGCCTCGAAGCCAAGATCGGTCCTGAGGTCTGCAGCCACCCTGCTGCCATAGGCAGGCCAGGGGTGGGGGGATTCATGGCGACAGCCTGGGCTGTGAGACCAGGTGCAGGCTGGGGTGTGGTGGGTGGTCAGGCTGGCCGACAACTGATGCCTGGCCAAGCTGAACAGATGGGTGGGCTCAGGAGGCTGTCTGGGGAGGTAAGATGGCCAGGCCTTGGGGTACGAGCATGGGCCGGAAGGAAGGAGGTGACAGTGTCTGAGCAGCGCTGTGTGTGCAGGGAGGGCCCCAGGCTCCATCGACACATGGCCAGCGCGGCGAAGTGGGGTCATGATTGTCATCACCACCATCCTTTCTTCTCTGGCTGGCCTCCTGCTCCTGGCCTTCCTGGCTGCCTCTACCGTGCGCTTGTGAGTGGCCCACACCCCGTACCCTGGCCGGCCCCTCCCTCACCCACCTGGACCTCTTCAGCCACAGAGCCAGAGGCCTCCATTCACTGCAGTTTTGATGAGGCAAGGCCCCTCCCGGGAGTGAGGGAGGGGGCCCAGCAGCTCCTCTGGGGACAGGGCTCAGGGAAGGGCCTCAGTCAGCCCGGCCTCCAGTGTGTCCTTGGCCTGACCCTTCTCCTCCTGGGCCTCGTTTTTCACTCCGCGGTTGCAGTGCACTTACACCAGGGCAGTCAGGGGCCCCCTGGAAGAGGCAGGCCTCCAGTAGGTTCTAGAAAGGAGGAAAGGTGAGGCTACAGGATGAGGGGTCTGCAGGGGGAGGCCAGTCTGGCAGCCCGACCCCACCCTGCTGCAGGGACACAGCGTGTCCTCCTTTCCCCACCAGCTTCAGCCTCTGGTTGCCTGAGGAGGCCCCGTCCCCTGAGCAGCTGCGGATTGGCTCCTTCAAGGGGAAGCGCTACATGACCCACCACATCCCACCCAGCGAGACCACCACGCTGCCCGTCGGCTTCGAGCCTGGCCTGGACCCTCTCCCCAGCCTCAGCCCCTAGCCAGGCCTTCGCAGCTGGAGCCTGAAGCAGGAGGGGGATACGCAGAGGGGGAGGGCCGCAGGGTGTGCAGTGCTCAACTCCAGCCCCTGGGCCCCCATTCCCCTCCCCAGGTTCCTTGACTCTTCCCCCAGCTGCCTGAAATCCCCGCCAGTAACATCCTGCTTTCTCTCCCCAGGCATCATCTATAAGTCGTAGTCAGGAGAGCTGGGGGTGGCGTGGTCAGGCTGAGATCCAGTGCCCACCGCAGCCCCTACCTCTGTTCTGCTGGCCCTCTTGCGAGTGAAGGTGAAGTTCATGTGGAGGGGCAATCCTAACAAGAAGATTCTAGGCCTCAGGAGGAGGCCACAGAGGGCCTTGCTCTGCCCTGTGCAGGGGACTGGGCTGGGCCCATTGCAGCCACATGAGGCTTGAGCCTCCCTCTGTCCCTCTGTCCCAGCTACCAGAGGCTGGGGCTTGAGTGAGGCCCGGAGAGGCACCTCCATTGTCGCTGGGTAGGGGCCCTGCCTGAGGCAGGTTTGGGGGGTACTTCCTGGGCCAAGCATAGATGCACACATGACCACCTGGTCCCTGATTCTGGTCACCAATTTGGGCCACCAATTCCAACCATGCTGCACACACGGACGGTTCACACAATTGTCCACCCACTCCACAAACATCTACTGAGAGCCTGCTGTGTGCCACACACAGTGTTAGACATGGGGTCACAGACAGAGCAGGTCCTGACCTTGGGGACCTCATTCACTGCTCTGGACCTCAGATGACCACATGTCCAGATGTGACCTGTTACTGTTGGGGGAGTTACGCACTCAGATTGTCACATACTCTCAGGCTCATAATCCCTCAGACAATCACCCCAAAGTGTTCTCTAGGGCCCACGAGCCGCCTTAGTGTCTTGAACCCAGCGGATCACCTGGAAGGAAACGCTTCAGGCTCGAATCTGAAGCATCCGTCTACCCGCAAGGCCGGTTGTTGCTACCATCGCCACTAGGGGGCGCCAGTACGCCGCTGCAACGGCACGGTCCAGGCGCATGCGCAATCTTATTCACTGACCTGTTGGCCGGCGTGTTTCCACCTGCTTGGTGGGCTGATACGGGGAAGTGGAGGCAGCTCAGCGGATTCTGGGAAGGTCAGGGCTCCAGGCCTCACCTTGGCCAAGCCAGAGGGATGAGCAATCACGCTCTTGCTAATAAGCCCGTTGTGAGCCATCTAAACTCACAGCCGCAATCTTTTCTAGATGGAGAAAGCGAGGGCCAGGGTCCTGCACACCGCCCTCTGTCCACTGCCCAACCGACCCTGTGCCCCGCTGGGCTGCCCTCCCAGCCCTCTAGTCTGACCAGGGCTCCCATCCTGCAGACCAAGCTGCCCAGCACAGCCTGTTTCATACTCCTGTCCAGGCCTGGCTCCAACACCAAATGGGGAGGACCTCAAGGCCCGGGATGCCCAGCACGGGGCCTGGCACAGGAAGGGCAGAAGCAGGGGCCCACCGGTGTTGCTGAAGGAACCCTCCCAGGGCCTGAGGATCAGCTAGGAGCAGGGATGGTCACAGGCTTTTTTGTGCCCTGGGGGCCCCGCTGTGGCTTGTTCTCAGTGCCAGAATCTGTGGCGCCCTGACTTTCCCAGCCCCACCTAGTTTTGGAGCACCTCCCCGAGCCCACTGAGGAGCAGTTCTCACCTTGGCCTCCTGGGCTCCCTTGGTGTCACATGTAACAGGCCGAATGAAGACTAGAGGCTGGGGGAGCCCAGGGGAGGCAACCAATCCCACCTGGGGCCCAGGGGGACTCCTGGAGGTGATGTATGAGCTGAGCATTGGAGGTGAATGGAAGTTAGTCAGATACTCTAGGAGGCGAAAGGAGAGAGGAAGAGAGAGTAGACTCAGGGAGACCAGGTGTAACAGTCCTGCCCCTTGTGGCATGGAGAGTGACTGGGAGGCCTGTAAGGGCGAGGTTGGCCTGATCTTCCAGACAGACGGAACCAGGGCAGATGTAGGGTGTTGGAGAGGATAGGATGGATTCCAGAAATATTAGGAAGGAGGCAAGAGGAATTGGGACTATTCGGATGTGGGATGGTTTCTGAGGTGGGGATGTGTGTGAATGCAAAATGGGGGCACTTTGATGGGATGGGGGTCCCCAAGGCCTGAGGCGGGACAGCCAGGACTGCATTTCCCTGCAAAACACTTCACAAGTGGTTACACTGTCTCAGCTTCCCTTAGAGCAGATCCTCAGAAAAAGGGCCTTTGAAGACGCCATCTTAACAGCTGGTGAGCTCCACAAGAACATTAATAAATTTAATATTTTACAAAGAAAGAAATGTACCCCAAGTCAGCTGGAGGCAACCCTGTGGCCTGCTAAAAGGGTGTTCTGATCCAGGTGTGCTGGCAAGCAGGCCAAGGTTTCATGGATCACACGGAGAAGGGGGCAGCAGAACTGGGTCGGCGCTGCTAGGACAGAGCCCAGGGTGGGCCACAGAGCTGTGCTGAGGAGTGCTGCCCCAGAGTCACGCTCGAGAGGGCTGACAGAGACCTCAGCCCTGAGAGGGCCAGCTCGTGACAGCTTGGAGCAGGACGCAGAGTGGCAACCAGGTTGTGGAGACTCGTTTATTAAATGGCCTTTTAAATTCTCTCCAGGACGGTTCTTGGGGAAGAGCCATGAAATCCATTGGCCTGTAACATAACGGCTCAGTGGTTAAAAACAAGTTCGTTGTCAAAAAGGCAAAACAGCAGTGATTGTGGGGTGATGAGTTGGAGATGATTCATCAGGCCAAAAATCAAAGGAATTCAGGTGGAAACCAGGCAACAGGGCCAACACCCTCCCCCTCCCCCTCTGTGTTCACTTCCCCACCTTGGTATCTCTGAACCATCCATTTCTCTCCATCATTACCACAATCCACAGGCCAGCCACCTTGGTCTCTTACTAGGATATCTGTAGCTGCCCCCTGGCTGGTGTCCCCACTTCCATTCCTGATCCCCACACCCATTCTTCTCAGAGGATCCAGAGGGACCCCATTCTAAACCTGGTCACACACATTCCACCCCTGCTCACCACCTTCAAGGGCTTTACCATCCATCCCTCGCTCCCTGTACTCTGCCACACTGGTCTTTGTTTAGCCCCTCCTGCCACAGGGCCTTTGCACTTGCTTTCTGTTCTATGTAGAACTCCCCTCTACTTCTCTCCCCTTCCCCTAGTCAATGTCTCAGCTCAAATGTCACGTCCTCAGGGACGCCCTTCTTGGACCCTCAGCTCTCCTACAGGAATTCTTTTCCTTCACAGCACGTTTTTCGTTTTGTAATTAGACATTTAAAAGTGTGAGTTCTTGATTTTTGAATATTCCCTACTAGACTGTAAACTCCGGGAGTGCCTAGCCTCCGGTAGGTACTTAGTAAATACTTGTAGGATGAACAAACCTTATAAAATACAAACACGTTGTCACATTCTTCTTTTTTTAAATAAAGGCTTTATTGAGATGCATTTAGCACATTCACTGGTTTTTAGTATATTCACAGAGCTGTGTAATTATCACCACAGTCAATTTTTGAACATTTTCATCATTACCCCTAACAGAAACTTCGTACCCTTTAGCAGTCAGTCCTGTCTCCCCGCAGCCCTCAGCAACCACTAATCTACTTTCTGTCTCTATAGATTTGCCTATTCTAGACATTTCATATAAATAGAACCATACAATATGTGGTCTTTTTTGTCTGCTCTCTTTCACTTAGTATAATGTTTTCAAGATTCATCCATGGTGTAGCGTGTATCAGCATTTCATTCCTTTTTAATGCCAAATAATATTCCATTGTTGTAGGCTACCTTTTATTTCTGCTCTTGGGCTATCATGACTAATGCTACGTCTTTATACTCTTAAACCCAACATTGGTGTGTTTGTTTCAGCAAAGCATTAAATTAATGTTAATTTTAATGTTACTGATATTTGGGAAGGAGCACCGAATTATCTATTTCTCTAGTCAAGACCATCCTAGAACTATATTTTTGGGGAAAAGTAAATGGAAGGGCTGGTTCTGCCTCTCCCCTCCCCTCCTCCCGCTCTCCTGAATCGTTTCTAACTGGGTAGAATGGTATTTCAATGTCAAGTCTCACCTGGAATAGCCATGCATTCCCTGGGTAGTGCATTCCCTGGCTTTCTTTGTGGGGGCTTCTGGGCCTGACACCTTGGGAAGCTGGGCATGGTGGCCAGAATGGACCGGCTGTGGCACCTGCTTCTTGGCCTGGCAAGAGTGTATTCGCTGGTGGAGCACCCTGGCTGCAAGGGAGGCTGGGAAACGCACGTTCTGGCTGCTGCAGTGGGAGACAGGGACTCAGGCTTGTGCATAGATGGGCGGTGCACTAGGGTGCCAGGGTGCACGGTGAAGGAGCTGACCCTACCTGGAGAAGAGATGCCTGCTTGTGATCCTCACAAAGGCCTCATTCGACTAGTGCTGGCTCTTGGAACACATAAGACAGGAAGTCATTTCCAAGGCAGAGGAAGGGTGGGGAAGAATTTGGGCAGTGGGAGAAAATGGCAACCATCTTCCACCCTGAGGAGGGCAGCCAGTCCCAGGTGCTGGGGAGTACGAGGAGTTTATACTTGATTTATGGTCACTGTATGTAACTAAGGCAGTGCTGGACGTTTCTTAGAAGATTTCTTGGGTTTGTGACTATCTGTCCCTTCTGCTCCTATTTCAGGCCTGGCCCTTCTGGAGATGGTGGGGCCTGCCTCACCTTCCACCACAGGCTGGACTCCAGTCAGTCCAGGGAGGCAGTGGGCCCAGTGGGCACTGGGCCAATGAGTGGGGGAGAGCAAGGGCTTCTCTAGGGACAGTCTTTGGGTATGTCATCCCCTCTGTGAGCCCCGGGTTCCTGTGTGTACAATGAAAACAGTAATTCCCACCACGAAGGACTGCTCTGAGGGGCAATGAGATGTGGTGGTTGAAAGGACCTATATTATTTCCTAGGGCTGTCATAACAAATTACCACAAACCAGGTGACTCAAAACAATAGAAAGTTATT